CCGTTTATTAATAAAACCATGTTGTTCCGGCGAGAAAATATTTTTAGCTGAAGCGTAAATATTTTCATAAATTATAATTTCTAAAAGTTTTGAAAAATTGCATAAAATGGATAATTAGATATTACGGACTTATCGCCTTGCTTTAAAATCGGACATATACATGCCATTTTCCACTTATCCGGATATGTCGCTGTAAATAGTGAAACATTAAACATATACTCGTACAACAACGCAGTTACTAATATTTGGCCACAGTCTTTTACAACAAAACTAGGTATGGAATCAGTACCAGAAGTTATTTTATTTTTTTAGATTCTTTAACGCATTAAAAAAATCAGATTCAGTAATTTTCTGTATGTTAACAATATCACCATGAACTATCGCTTCATTGTTAGTCTCGTAGTTGAAGTCAGAAGTGACATAAACACTGTGAAAATAAATAGCAAATGCATCCACAATCGTTTGTGGACTGTTATGTTCAATACCATTTAGTTTTACAGTACCTAGAATGATTGAATGACCTTTTTTACTATTTATATATGACCAAAATTCAATAGAATCAGACATAATAAGACGTTCAGAATTATGAATAAAATTGTTGTATGCTTGTTTAATCTGAATCTTAATAGTACTACTCAAATTACTAAATTTATTATAATAATAATCTGTTCTGAACCTTTTATAGTTTTTAAAAGCAGATTCCTTATATTTTTTTTATAATATCACTAGTAAACCACGATGGAAAACTACGACGATTAATTTTTAGAGGTACAGATTGATCAAAAATATTACTCAAGATGTGAAACACTTCACACGCAACATTAATATTATCACATTTTAATACATCAGTCCAGTCCACATTTGCAATAAGTTCGTACATTAAAGGATAGTTCGCTTTTCTAAAGTTATATTCTCTGTTTATTTCACTATTCTTAACGTTAAATTGGTCATAACGCTGATAATGATAATTAGAGACCTACGTCCAATTGTTAAATAAAGTGAAGTTATTAAATAACAAACAAATTTAAAATACGACGCTTATAACAATTGACCGCCTAATAGAGGCTACGAAGAAAATTCTGCAGGTGGGGGCAATTAGGACACAATCCTCCCGCGTCATCATTTATACCCGACAGCAATTAGCTCAGAAGACAATACCCCGACAGGGGCACCATGTTGGTATATCGCATAAAGCGTCCGTAAATATTCGCGGGAAATAAAATAGTCGCGCGTAACGCAGGGGGTTTGTTTAAATCGTTAGAGTACATTGTGTCGGATGATATATCGCCAGTTTTGTCCCGCAAGGTGCTGCTCCCAGCAGTCACAATGCCGTAACGTATGGCACCGGTTCTTTATGGCGGACACATGGAATTTTCAAACTGCCCGGCAGCGTTGCCGTCTCTGGGAACGCTTAAATCATCTCGATTTGCCGCCATGAATCGTCCTGTTATAAGGACGACTTAAATCGCACCTTGGCAGCGATTTCTCTTTAGTGGACTCTACAAAATAACGAAAAACTCGTGAAAAGTATTTTTCAATGCACTTTTGTTGCTTAGGAATAATATTTGTAATTAGGTGGTAGTTACACAGGTTGCGAATTCGTGCGAAAAGTAACCGATTCGTACAAACGAAGTATAGCGTAGCCCATAGCAAAGATATTCTCCACTCAACTACTTTGAAACTGCGCATCCTACTCTTAGAATTCAAATTAAATGAATTTAAAGCTTGGAACTTAGAACCTGGTGATTAGAGAGTAGCACACTTTCTGTTGTGGTTGCCTATAATATACTTGGCATTCTCTCGATAACACCTTTTAGTGAGTGTTTCGACTGAATTGAACACTTTTTGTTTCATGCTTGACATTTTTATGCACCTTTCCACTGCCTTTGTGTTTGAGCTAGAGCACTATTGTATCAGCCGCAAAAATGTAGCGAAGCTTAAGTACTTCGGGTGCTCTCTTTATGATCCACGGTTGAACGACAGCTCGCAATAGTTTATAAAAATTTTATAATGAATACAAAAAATTTATTTGGTATAATTATTGATATGCGAGATGTTGTTTGGTTACATACAGTAGGTCCCATACAGTGTAATGAAAGTGAATGCACAGAGTCGTACTTAGTACTGTCCTGGGTAGTTAACTGCAGAAAACCAGAGTTGACATTCGATTGCACCTCTTGATGGTTCCGTCAATTCTCTAGATTAATCCTGGCCGTTGTTTCTTGATTTTGGCTAGCCGGATTTCGGAAATTTTTGGTGTTCTTTTAATCAGTCGTCGAATGTGTTTGAGTTTCTAGATCTATGGTCATTTTATCCGTCCTTTGATCATTACCCGATTTTGGTGGAATTCGTGCTGTTTTACCAGAAAATTTGAAACATAGGTGATTTTTTGGAGCGATTCGTAGCGGTCTAGCCAGTGCAGTGCAGTCGTTTTGCTAACATTTATTAATAAATTCGGGCTCTCCAAAAGTTATCTGCTCTAACCTGGTGTCTCCGGAGCAATTTTGGTCTCCGTAGACATATCCGGCTGTTGAATTCGAAACACTAGTGAAAATTTTGTATTTTGATCGACGCTAGTTGGTTGATTGGTTTAACTTTCGTACAAATCGGTACAATTTCATATCAAAAATTTTAGCAGATCATAATTAGTTATACTAACAAACTGTGGCAATTTAAATAGATTTTTTGCAATAAAACATTTAACAACTTCAATATTGAGCTAAAATCAAGGAATAACAGCAATCATTTTCTCATTTCTTTTTTTTTTCTGAATATACTTCTACGGTTTTTTTCAGTTGTATAAAGGAGAATATTTTTATTGATTTAGGTGATCATCACAATAAGTGTACGACCTTGTAATAAAAAATGTATGGCCATTACAGTCAAAATTACAGCTGGAGCGTATTTACCTTAAACATACATAATATATGCTATAGTAGATATTTTATACAAAGATACATAACATGGCCTCTTTTTTATTTATTCGTATTGACAAGCGTCAATGTCTCTTGTGCATATGATTCGTGTAAATTATTATACTTGCACTCATCATTTTCTTAACTTGTATAAAGAAGAAGATTGATATACATTACCTAAGCATGATGTACTGTCTAGTTCATATAATGTTTTTTTAACTTTCAACTTACCATTTTCATTTATAAACAAAACTAGATATAGACCAGGAATATTAGCGAAAAAAAAGAGAAACTCGAAAAAATTCCTATCCGCGATATTATTGTAAAATTGTCTAAAGGAACATAATACAAGGCATCTCTCATCTCGTGAGTCAAAAAATTTTATTAGCTAACTTTTCTATTTAAACAAATAAGTGAGGAAAACACTTTGCAGGGAAAACCATAAATTTTAGCGAAAAATGACTCACAGACAGCTTGTAGGGAATAAAATTATCTACAAAATAAGACTTGTTAAATTAAAATCGTTTAATAAACAAAAAAGTTATTGCAAAAAATACAAGAAAAGTGCCCATTTTTAAATTTGTTTACAACTATCGCATTTATTGTTAAAATTTTATAAAACCTATGACAAGTTCACTTCGTAAACTTTATTTTTTATGTTTATAAACAATTGCGCTACGATTTAAAAAAAATCTTATCTTAGCTCCTGTTGGTCGTAGAGGGTACTTTTTTTAAATTTGTATTTTTTGGCCAGCTATCCATTGCATCTATTTTCGGTGAGGTAGCATAAATAGCAACAAAGCGAAAAACGCACGGTTTTTAATGCACAATTTGAGAATGTTAATGTCAAAAAAACGGTGATATTTTTTAATAGGTCCCTTAAGTACGTCTTTAAGATTACAATGACGCTTTCAGAATCATGTTTGGTTGAAAACTAACGCCTGTACAGAGGCTTAAAGTTCATAACTTTTGGAGCCTTTGTTACAAATTGAATTGTGCGAAAACTATTGAACCTACAGCGCCCATTTTTGGCACACTTTTAAAGTATGACAAAACCCTCAACTTGTCATAGGTTTTATAAAATTTTAACAATAAAGGCGATAGTTATAAACAATTTAAAAAATTGTCACTTTTCTTGTTTTTTTTGCAATAACTTTTTTGTTTATTAACCGATTTTAATTTAATAATTCTCATTTTGTAGATAATTTTACTCCCTATAAGCTGTCACTTTTCGCTAAAATTGATGGTTTTCCCTGCCAAGTGAAAAAACTGCTTCCCTCACTTATTTGTTTAAATAGAAAAGTTAGCTAATAAAACTTTTTGACTCACGAGATGAGAGATGTCTTGTATTATGTTACTTTAGACAATTTTACAATAATCTCGCGGATAGGAATTAAACTGAAATATGAATATAATTTTATTTGTCTCGTTTAGCAAAATGTATATATACAGAGTGTCCCCGAAAGGTTTGTACATAATTCTACCACAAATTCTTGAGGTGAAAATAGTTCAAAAGTTGATAATTATGGATATATAGGGGTCAGCGTTATTAATTTATTTTCAATTTCCTTCATTATTTATTGATAGAAACCTGACAACGTTATAAAACTTGGTATATAGGGTTTTGTTAGGGTAAAAAATTCAAATATGTTAACAAATTTTATGTACGTTAATGTCGCTAGGAGCAACCGTTTGCCAGGAAAATGCAAGGACGGTTTAACTCTGCTTTCTTAGGGTGCAATCAAACAAACTGCAAAACAAGCAATAAAACAAAACCGAAAATATGTGAATTTTATTAATTATATGTAAAAACACTTTAAGGAAATGTTCAAAATAACTACTGATTTCATGTGACGCCCTGTACCTCCGTAATTATCAACTTATCGATCTATTTTAATCTCGAAAATTTGTGGTAGAATTTTGTACGGACCTTTCGGGGACACCCTGTATATTTTTCATTTTAAATCAAAGACTTTGTATTTGTTTGATGCGCATATTTTGGTGGAAGGTCATACAAGCAAATATTACTACACTTTTCTTTAGAAAACTGAAATAGTAATATGAGTAATAAGAACAAAACCTCACCTGAGCTGTCCCGGTAAGTCCCGCAGACATCGCAGCCGCCGATTGCTGAGCTGCAGCCGCAGCCGCAGCCATTGAAGCTGCGCTGAGCGACCCGTAAGCCGCTGAAGGGTTATAGTAGGAGGCCATGGATTGACTCATACTGCTTGCAGCCATCCCTGAAATATGGAAAAGAAATTTGAAAATGTTCTAAGACAAAGTTTTTTTTAAATAAATTTTGATGTAAGACACTGTTTTTATTATTGAACTATGTATAAAATGGTCATTTTTAATTAAAAATTTCAAATAGAGCAGGGCCTGGTCTTTTATGATTTTTTTCAAACGTTCCGATTTTCATGATTTGTGATAAAAAGTTACTGCATTCAATAATATAATTTGTAATAAATGATTTAACAACCGTAAGAGATATCAATTCCAGCTTATGAATCGTCAGAAGAGTGAAATATATGCGTTGGCATAATAGCAAATAGTTAATTTTACTCATAAATAATGTAGATACTTGAATATATTTTTTTTTAATTTGACGTTTTGACGATAATATTTATTATAATACAATAATTACTTAAACACATTGTAAAAAAATCGGTGTGAGTGAAAGCAATAAAGGTTCGGAGTGTATCCATTGAGTGAAATTATTGAGCACGTTTTCACTCAATATTGGGCATTTTGATCATTTTACTCATTTGTGATTATATTTAAACTAAAACTGAGTACTTTCACTCACATAAACCCGTATTTGGTGCATTTCGAGTAATTTGAATGATGCCCTGAAGAAGGCACCACTTACATATTGCTTCTGTAATCTAGACCATAGTTGATAGGGGCCCGTTAGATGCTCCAGAAATGCGTGATCATCAGGAGAACAGGCCTTAGCAGGCGGCGGCGGGTCTCAGCTGGCGGGTCTCAGCCAGGACAGGAGGAGGCCCCGCGAAGTGAATTAATTTCAACACTGTATACCCTAATTAATCATTTATGAGTGATTTACTTTCGCATTCAATATTTAGTTAATTAAAAACCAAGTCTGAGTAAAAAGTGACTCAATAATAGTTAAAGAGTGACCGCAAAATCCCCCCGTTTTTGCGTAGTGTGTAGCAAGAACGGGGAAGGTTGTACAGAGGTCTCCGTGGGCTTAAATTGATCGTCATGAAAAATCTAGGTGAGCATAATTCGATTTTTCCAGTATTTGCCCGACTTACCCCTACTTATGGGGTGGAAACCAATTCGCTTCTAACTACAGGGATCTCGGAAACGGTAAGAGGTACGAAGTAGCTTAGATGGGGGCAAAGTTGCGTAATCAGGGGACCAACATTATGCTTCTAAAAAATCAAGGCTAACATAATTAGTTTTCAAAATATTTGAAAAAAAACGAAATTTTGGAAATCCGTTTTTGTTTCATTTCAGCTTTGTTTGAGGTGATATTGAAAAAAGAATAATACTTTCTCATGGCCACTTTTTGCCCTCTATCGATCAGCATAATTAATTTTTATATATAACGTTTCGTCTCTCCAGGACCGTCATCAACTTCATTTTTTTAAATACGACCCTAGAAATTTTACTACATTTTTTGCAAGCCTTCATGATCCCCAATACTGTACTACTTCAGCCCGAACCAGTATCAGACGTTTTGTCTCGAAAAATTCATTTTCAGTGTATTCGTTCCAAATTTATCTTAATTTTTATTTAGATTTCTTTGTTTATTGAATTGTCGTATACTGTAAGTGTCGCTACACTGTGAAATCCATCTAGATATTTAAACTAATACCAACACGCGTTACAATAACACATTTATTATTGTTAACCATTGCCATCACTTGGTCATACATAACTCAATAAGTTGTTGGGTCAAAATTAAAACATTATTTCAATTTTAATTTTATTATGACAAATTAATTCTTAAAAATGCATATGAACAACCAAAACGCCAACTGAATATTATTCTTTAAAAAATTGAAGTAAATCTTCAAAAACATTTTCGTTTTGGCAAAGTTTGAAAATGAATATGATATGGATTTATATGAATATCCTGAAAAAAAAAAAAAAATAGATCGGAATTTGTTTGAATTTTGAGCACTCGAGAAGCCTAGAAATAACTATGAACAGGAATAAAACTGTGATAATTTTTTATTTTAATGCGTGGTGGTAATAGTTTAAATAACTAGATGTACTTCACAGGGTCTAACGACACTTACAGTGTACGAAAATTCAATAAACAAACAAATCTAAATAAAACATTTAGATAAATCTGGAACGAATACACTGAAGATGAATTTTTCGAGACAGAACGTCTGAATGTGGTTCGGGCTGAAACAGTACCGTATTGTGGATCATGAAGGCTTGCAAAAAATGTAATAAAATTTCTAGGGTCGTATTTAAAAAAATGAAGTTGATGATGGTCCTGGAGAGACAAAACGTTACACATAAAAATTGATTATGCCATTCGATAGAGGGCAAAAAGTGGCCACGAGAAAGTGTTCTTGTTTTTTCAATATCACCTCAAACAAGGCTGAAATGAAACAAAAATGGATTTCCAAAATTTCGTTTTTTTTTCAAATATTTCGAAAACTAATAATGTTAACCTTGATTTTTTAGAGGCATAATGTTGGTCGCCTGGTTACGCAACTTTGTATCTCTTACCGTTTTCGAGATCCCTGTAGTAAGAAGCGAATTTGTAACATCCTGTATACTTAATAATTTTATAAGAATTCCTTCATAGCGGCGTCCTACTAAGTAAGGTTTACAATAAAAAATAATGTTCTAGTTTTCGTAGTTTCATTTCCCTCTCTCTTTCTCATTAAAATTGCCTCACCCAGTACTTCTACCTTTTTACGTTCAAACGCAATTTCGCTGGTTACATTAGACAAATTCCCGGAGCTGTTTATCACATTTAACCAAACTCCGTTTGCACAGTAATACGAGTACGCGATATTATTAATAAATAAAAGTGACATGAAAAGATATTATTTGAAGACCGCATTATCGGCATGTTAATTGCAGATGTATGAATAATGTATACAACATGACAGCGGCGATAATTGCTCGTAGGAAAAAACCCATAATTGCAGCTCTATTCAAATCGTATCCCGATACACCGCTCCATCCGAGCGTTATTGTTAAGAGATTTATCTTGCGCATAAATTAATTCCTTATTAAATTAAATTACATATTAATGGTCCCTTTCAGGCCGCTGCTGATAATTGCTGCCGCCGAAGAACATCCTTTTTACTATCTCCACCGACTTTCATTTGTGTTTTCGACTAATGCCGATTCGATTTTAATTATTTAATTAAAAGTTGTTATAAAGTCGCCGCGTAAACTTTTAATGGCAGCCAGGAGGACAAAAATTTATCGTTGGAGTGTTAATGCTGTTACCCAATTAGTATGGGGTTTATAAAATTGTTTTAATGGCTTTGTTAAAAGATAAGCTTTACGGCACTGTATGTGCTTCAAGTTTTATCTCCCGACAGAACAATCTAACGGTGCTCCTTTTGTTGCGAAGGAATTTGTTAATAATTTTCTTTAGCGGCGGAATGCCAGTTTTTAATTTTGATAGAGCAGTGCTGCAAGCCATGGGCGACGTTGAAGGGATTTTCCTCCTATGACAGTTTTAGAAAATTCTTAGGTATAGCAACCCTAGTATACAGGGTGATTCAGTCATAATGTCATTAATTTTAATCACGTATTCGGAAGACTTAATAAAGACAGAAAATCGAAAAAAAATTTTTTACTCGACTTTTAAAAATGAAGGAAATCAACCCATAACTCCCGCTAAGAAGGCGGCCCTGCCAGATGTCCGGATGCTCGGAAAATTTTGTAACGTAATGTCACGAACAAATCGTCAGCTGAAGCGAACAGCGTTGCCAAGTTCACATCATAATCTGTGTTCACATTTAATTAATCCGCTTTAGTATACGGATACATATGTATGAAACCAATAAAATGCAAGTAAATAAAGGATCATGCTGCATTTTATTATAACTAATTTTAATAATTTAGTGCAAAATGTTTTAACAAGCCTGACTTCTCGAAGTCAACTTTCGTTAAAAGAAAATAAATAAAGCAGAGGTTTGTAGGCACACTGTATTTTATCAAATAAAAAAAGTCGGCACACTAAATACCCGAATATACAAAATACACTACACACGGTTACAAAACCATTACCTAACAATTTAAAGCGTTTATTCAAATCTACCACCCTCCATATCTCCCGCATTTTTCCCGCAAAGGAGTTAACATAACACATTTTCAAAAAGTTCAAGCTTTAGAAGCAGCTGATTTCCCCAATCGTCTTGAATTTTGCAATTGGTTCCTAAGTGCAGCAGAACTTTATTAACAAAGTGCTCTGGACGGATGAATGCTGTTTTACTCGTGCTGGCATTTTAAACAGGTAAAAAACATAAGTATTGCTTTCTCAAAAACAATAAGTGCCTACCTAGGTTACACCAAAGTTTAGATTTACACTAAAGTTTACATTTATTATGTAAACTTTGGTTATACGCAACTGCATATTGAATAATAAATTGAAATACTAAAACTGTGTATTATTTAACATAATAAATTATAAAACGTGAAAACGTTAATAATATTAAAAATGATAAATTGTAATAACCGTACATTCGAAAACAATCATCCCTATTCATTACATTCAATTTGATGACACGATTTTCCTTTGATAAAAGACCGACAACTTTTTGCTCTACTTTGCATGGAATACGATCCTACTACAGTTCGTATTAGTCTAGGAGCCAGATCAGGTTCCGTGTACTAGCTATAAAAATAAACTTTTTACAGCCATTTAAACATTTAATTTGTTGATAACAATTAAACTGACCACTTTCAGGCTTTGCGACCAAGTTTTTTGGATTCAGGAGGTCAAAATACTTTAGAATAAGTTGTTTGCAGCCGTGGCACTCTGGTTGGCAACGGAACCCTGTCTGGCTCCTAGACTAAAGTGCACGTGCAAATTAGAAGGTTATTGACCTCGACACAGGTTAGCCTAGGTCGGAAACACGTACCGAGTTGTTTATTTGTCTCCGTCCGATTGTATTTTTATCTTCTATTACTTACAGTCAATATTTAAATACTACATACATTTCACCCTCTCTTTATAATTTATCTAGTGAGTGTTGGTTTTTTATGTCATTATTTCTGTAATGAAATT